TCCTTGGAGGCAATTAAGGCTGTGATCCTGCTCCTCATAAAGCCATCCTTCAGGAGAGGTTCAGCTGCTCCTGCCTTTCCCTGGAGCACATCCAGGGATCCAGGCTGGAATGGCAGCTCCAAACACCTCCCCATGGACGCTGCCAGATCTGCTCCAGGCTTGGCTTGGATGCCTGGGTCAGCCCAGCCCTGCACCCCAAACAGCCCCACTGGGAACTGGGATTTTGGGAGCCATTCCCGCTGCTCCAGGCAGGTCCTGGCTCAGCCTGGGGGCCCCGCAGGGGTTGGGGCTGGAGCTGGAGCTGTTTCCTGGCAGGGCCTGCAGCAGCGGGACGGCTCCTCCCTCCCACCCCAGCACTGCCACTTCGCCCTCAACGGGAAATCCTTCCAGGTGGTCTGCGAGCACTTCTCCGAGCTGCTGCCCAGGGTGAGTCAGGCAGGGAGCCCTGGGGGCCGTGGGGAACCTTCCAGTGCCACGGGGAACCTTGGTCACTGCTGGGCATTCCCAGTTCCCTGATGGATATTCCCAGTGCCCAGCTGGGCATTCCCAGTTCCCTGCCCCCCGGGAACGCTGACGGATCCTCCCGTTGGCAGATCCTGCTCCGGGCCACCGTGTTTGCCCGCATGCTGCCCGAGCAGAAGACCCAGCTGGTGTGCAGCCTGCAGGAGCTCAAGTAAGGCCCAGGGGATGGATCCCAGGGGATGGATCCTGGAATTATGGGGTGAACGACGTTGGGAGGCCCCTCAAACATCACCTGGTGGCACCAATGCCATGGGCAGGGACACTTCCACCAGGTCCAGCCTGGAACAGGGCATCCATGGGTTCTCTGGGCTGAGCCAGGGCTTTTCCCATTCCCTGAGGAATGTGGGCTCTTTTTCCTGTATTCCCTGAGGAATGTGGGCTCCCTTTCCCATTCCCTGAGGAATGTGGGCTCCCTTTCCCTGTTCCCTGAGGAATGTGGGCTCCCTTTCCCATTCCCTGAGGAATGTGGGCTCCCTTTCCCGCAGCTACTGCGTGGGGATGTGCGGGGACGGTGCCAACGACTGCGGGGCGCTGCGGGCGGCCGACGTCGGCATCTCCCTGTCCGAGGCCGAGGCGTCGGTGGCCTCGCCCTTCACCTCCCGCTTGGCCACCATCGAGTGCGTGCCCAGGGTCATCCGGTGAGCGGGGAGAATCCTGGGAATGCGGGGGAATCCCGGGAATGCCGCAGATCCCTCCCGGGGAGGGGTGGCCGGTGGTGACGCCGTGTCCCCCCCCAGGGAGGGCCGGTGCTCCTTGGTCACCTCCTTCGGGGTCTTCAAGTACATGGCCCTGTACAGCCTGGTCCAGTTCGTGTCCGTGCTCCTGCTCTACACCGTGAGTCCCACCCCAAATCCCTGCTTTTCTCAGAATTCCTGGGGCACCGATGCCTTATGGGGCTACCCTAAAACATAGGCCAGACCAAATTAAGGGAATAAAACATGGGTGTATTTACTGAAGGGCCTTCAGGTACAGCTCAGGCAGACAAAACCCCCCAGGGGCTGCACCCAAAAATGAACCACGGGTCACAGGCTTTCACACTTTTATAACTTTGGTCCTTTTGCGTATATGGGGGGTTAATCCTCCAATTCCATCTTCAGGTAATGAAGTCATTTGCCCCAAGTTTGCTCCCTTTTGTTTAGTCTTTCGAGGCCTGAGGCAGTGAGTGTCCTTGATTGCCAGGCCTGGAGAGGAATTGCTGTGTCTGCCCAAAACGGGAGAACAGCAGCTGCCACTGCGTGTGGAGTTCGGAGTTCTACACTAAAGAACTGCAGGGTTAAAATACATGGAAAATATAAAAGCTCAAATCCTGAGGCATCAGCCCTGCTGGCTCTGAGCCTGTCCCTCCTCCGCAGATCAACACCAACCTGAGTGATTTCCAGTTCCTGTTCTTCGACCTGGTGATCACCACCACGGTGGCCGTGCTGATGGGGCGCACGGGGCCGGCGCCGGCGCTGGGTGTGCGGCGGCCGCAGGGAGCCCTGATCAGCGGGCTGGTGCTGGGCAGCCTCCTGCTGCAGACAGCCCTGCTCATCACCGTGCAGGTCCTCAGCTACTTCATCACCGTCTCACAGAGCTGGTGAGGGCCCCCACTCCGGGAATCGTGGGATTCAGTGCTGGAAAAGGTCATCGAGTCCAACTGTCAGCCCCTGTTTGCCACTAAGACCCAAGTGCCAGATCCACGGGGTTTTTGGACACTTCCAGGGGTGGTGATTCCACCCTCCCCTGGACAGGCTGTTCCAGTGCTTTGCAGGCCTTCCCATGAGGAAATCTTTCCCAATATCCCACCTGAACCTGCCTTGTCTTCCTGAGGGTTTGATGATGGGGACAGCACTGAGGTTGTGTCAGAGCCCAGGGTTTGTCCTGGGATTTGGGATCTGGCAGCAGACAGGGAACCATGGAATGTCCTCAGCTGGAAGGGATCATCCAGTCAAACCCCTGGCCCTGCACACACATCCCAACAATCCCAGCCTGTCCAGACACTCTTGGAGCTCTGGCAGTCTCAGGGCTGGGACCATTCCCTAGGGAGCCTGGGCAGTGCCCAGCACCCTCTGGGGAAGGGCCTTTCCTGACCTCCAACCCAAACCCCCCTGGCCCAGCTCTCATTCCCAAGGGATCTATCCCTGCTCCCAGAGCAGAGGTTGGAGCTGCCCCTGCTCTTCCCAAAGTTGTAACTGCTGGAGAACAACGGGTGGTGTCCAGCCTCCCTTGGCCTCTCTGCTGACCCTGTCCTGTCCCCCGGCCCAGGTACGTCCCCCTGAACAGCACGGTGACAGCGCCCCAGAACCTGCCCAACTACGAGAACACCGTCCTGTTCTGTGTCACCGGCTTCCAGTACCTGATCCTGGCCGTGGCCATGTCCAAGGGCTACCCCTTCCGGGAGCCGCTCTACACCAACGGTGAGGACACGGGGACACCCATGGGACACACAGGGGGACACCCACAGGACACTCACGGGGACACCCATGGGGGCATCCACAGGACACCCATGGGACGCTCACGGGGACACCCACAGGGAAACCCATGGGACACTCACGCGATGTTGTGCATGGGGACACCCACGGACACCCATGGGACACAGGACACCCACAGGGCACCCACGGGACACCCATGGGACACCCACGGGGACACCAAGAGCCACCGGCCCTCCCTCCCCTGCCCCTCACCCCACCCCCTCTCACCCCCAGTGCTCTTCCTGCTCGTCCTCGTCCTGCTCTTCGGCCTGATGATCTGGCTGACCCTGTACCCGCTGGGCTTCCCCAAGTCCCTGCTGAAGCTGCAGCCCATTGAGGATTTCAGTTTCAAGCTGCTCCTCTTGGGCATTGCCGCCCTCAATTTCTTCGCCGCCTTTGTGCTGGAGGTGGGTCAGGGGGGCTTTGGGATGGGGCATCCCCCTGGAGTGTCCCCAGGTGGGCACAGGGCTCTCCTGTCCCCCCTCAACCCCGCTTCCCTCCTGCTCTGACCCCAGACCGCCTTGGATCACGGCTTGCTCGGCTGTTTCCGAAGGCTGCGTCGGAAAAAAGCCTCCAAGAAGCTTTTCAAGAGGCTGGAGAAGGAGCTGAGCCAGCAGCAGCCAGCCTGGCCACCCCTGGACCAGCCCCTCTTTGCCACACCCAGGATGTCCCTGGCCGTGAGATAGCAGTGCCAGCCGTGCCTCTACCCCAGCCCTCGGACACTTCCTTAATTTATTTATCCCAGGAAAAGCAGGGATGTGGCGGGTGGGATCCCTCAGATTGCAGATGGGAATCCCATGGCCACAGTGATCCCGTGGACACACTGATCCCGTGGCCACAATGAGCCCATGCCCACACTGATTCCCTGGCCATATTGATCTCTGATCCCACAGCCACGCTGATCCCATGGCCATGTGATCCCACAGCCATGGTGGTCACATGGCCACCCTGATCCCACAGCCACACTGATCCCATGGCCATGGTGATTCCCTGGCCACGCTGATCCCACGGCCACACTGATCCCGTGGCCATGGTGATCCCATGGTCACACTGAGCCCACAGCCACTCTGAGCCCACAGCCATGGTGATCCCATGGTCACACTGATCCCATGGCCACGCTGATCCCACGGCCACACTGATCCTGTGGCCATGGTGATCCCATGGTCACTCTGAGCCCACAGCCATGGTGATCCCATGGTCACACTGATCCCATGGCCATTCTTATTCCATGGCCACACTGAGCCCATGGCCACACTGATCCCATGGCCATGCTGATCCCATGGCCACGCTGATCCCATGGCCACACTGATCCCGTGGCCATGGTGATCCCATGGCCACGCTGATCCCGTGGCTACACTGATCCTGTGGCCGCAGCCCAGAGGAGCAGGAGGTGGAGGAGGAACGGGCGAGAAGAGCCAGAGGAGGAGGAGGATCCAGCATGGCTCTTCCTGCAGGATTCCCCCCACTCCCACCCTGGCCACCATGGCCAGTTGGGCCTCTCGTGGCCTGCCCAGGCCACCAGGAAGGGGGTCCCTGGTGTCCCCAGCACCCCCAGCTGTGTCACTGTGAAGCCCCAGTCCCCTCTAGATGTGTAGGGAGTTTACAGTCCCCGTTCCCAGCTTGCCGAGGCTGCTGCTCCATCCCCAGCGCCTGGGCCCCTTCTCCGCTTGGAATGCTCGGGCAGAGCACCTCTGCTTGGGGATGGGACCTCTGTAGCATTACAGACCCCACAAATTCTCTATTTTTTAACTCTTCCCCGTCGGGAAGGTGACGGCGCCGTTCGCGGGCTGCGGACGGGGCTGTCACGGGTCTTGTCCAATAAATTAACACTTATTTTCTTGGCTGCTTGTCCGTGCTGCCCGCTGGGGGTGGGTTTGGGATGGCACGGGTGAGTACCCATGGAGCGGGAGGAGGTTTCGGGGTCACCTCGTTCCCAGGCAGGCTGGGAAATGCTCGATGCTCGAAAGCTGGGCCTGGAGCCAGGGATGACACCGCTGGGATTCCTGCAGCCCAAACTGGGCTGAACAACCTCTCTCCAGCTGGAATTTCCTAGAAAATAACAATAATCGCTGGAAAAGCCCAGGTGTCCTGGCTGAGACTCCGAAACCTCGCTCGTTCCACCGAGGAAAAGCCGGGAGGGAGAGACGCCGCATCCCGCGGGGAGGGAGCAGCTCCCCGGAGGGTCTGTGCTGCCCCGGCCCCTCCCGGGGTTTTCCAGCTGCCTCCCAGGACCCCGGGCTGCTTCCTGCAGGGATTCGCTTCCATGAAAAGTCTGAACCCCCTCCGAGCGCCGGCGGCGCCTCTCTGCCCTGGGGAGCTGGGATTAGGGCAGGAAATGAGGCACAAGCAGAGGTAAGAGGTTTCCTGAAGGCCCGGCCAAGGCTGCGGTTGTTAACCCAGGCTTCCCGAGGCTGGAAAAACCCTCCCCGCTCCGAGCCCTCGGGAGCTCTGCCCGTTCCTGGCAGGGTCCGAGGCAGAGGCACCCGGGAGCCGCTTCCCCTTGGAATTTCCGCGCGCTCCGGGGTGTTTGGCTTGGATGGGCCGGGAGGGTGTTCCCAGCCCCGGGGGATGGTAAACTTCGTTTAATTATTGACAGGCAGCTCCTGCTCCCGGATGGAGCTGAACAGGGCTGGGATGAGGATAATGCTGCAGCTGGGGGGCGGCAGAAGCTCGGTGGGAGCAGCTGACGTGGTTTTGGGGTCCTTTGGGTGGTTTTACCCATCCTTCAGCCTGGAAATTGTGGTGTTTTGGGGTCCTTTGGGTGGTTTTACCCATCCTTCAGCTTGGAAACTGAGGTGGTTTTGGGGTCCTTTGGGTTGTTTTACCCATCCTTCAGCTTGGAAACTGAGGTGGTTTTGGGGTCCTTTGGGAGGATTTACCCATTCCTCAACATGGCAGCTGAGGTGTTTTGGGATTTTTTGGGTGGTTTTATCCATCATTCAGCATGGAAAACCAGAGGAGAGGAGATGAGACCACCTTCCAGCCCCATCTGCCTCTCATCCTGCTCTGAAAATCCCTTTTTTCCTGTGTTTTGCAGCCCTCAGAGCCCGTCCTGGTGCTCCGCCGTCGGCACAACCCAGCGTGGGCTGCTGGGAATCCAATCCCACGGAGAAAAATCTCCTCTGCTCACCCCCATTCCCGTCTCCAGAGACCTCCTCCCTCCACCCCAGAGCCCTCCCTCTGCTCCTTCCCTGGGTTTTCACCCCAAACCTGCAGAATTCACCCCCCAGCTCTGGCTCTGTGTCCCTGCCGAGCTCGGGGGGTTTCGGGATCATCCCAATCCCGCCGGGATCCTCCTCCAGGAGGGGGGAAAGGGGCCCCACGCCGGCACCGGGGGCAGCAGAGCCCGGGCTGGGAAAGCGGGATTTGGGTCATTTTTGGGTCCTTTTCCCGCCCCGTCCCGGGATAAATCCCGCGTGGTTGCAGCATCCTCGCTGCTGGGGAGGAATCGGAATCCACCCCTGGATGGGGAGGAGGTGATCCCAGGATCCCAGATTTTGAGGGTGCAGTGATTTCTTTCCCAAGAGCTGACGAGGTAGGAGAAAAATCCCCGGAGCTGCTCCTTCCACCCCTCCCTCCCTGCAGCCCCACAAACCCCGGCCCGCTCCGCGCGGATCCTCCCCCCTCCTCGCTTTTCCATGGGTTTAAAACTCATCCCGCCGGGGAAAAACCCCAAAAACAACAATACACCCCGTCCCCGGTGCCCCTGGCAGCGGCGCGTTCTCACGGATGGTTATTTGGGGTTATTTGTGGGTTTTCCCTGCTTTCCCCCTCCCAGGCAGCGCGGGAGGAGGAAGGGGCCGGCTCAGGTGTGGCTTTAGGACCCAGCGGATCCCCCGTGCTGGAGGTAGGAGGTTTTTTGGGTTTTTTGTTTTTTTCTGACTCTCATTTCAAGAGTTTTGGGGAAGCAGAGAGAGGAGACCGAGGCTGTGGGCGAGGGCAGAGCCGGCACTCACTGGTAAGGACCAGGCGAGGGAAACCCCCCCCAATTCCCAGGAATTTCGGGGACACCCCCCCCCCAGCAGCAAACGGGGCTGAACCCCCATTTTGGGAACTTTGTGAAATCACCTTAAAACTCCATCGGTTAAGAGCTTGGAAATGTTGTTTTCAGCTTTTTAACCTCACAAAGCCAAATCCCCTTGATTTTTGGGGTGCTGAAGGAACGACAGCCGGGGGAGGGGGGAAGGGGTTCTTTCTTTGAGGCCTGACAGTTACTGGAGATTTTTTACCACTTCCAAAAAGTCTAAAAATACCCCAAAGCCTGGAGGAAGCCGTGGGTTTGTTGGTTTGTGGGGTTTTTTTTCTTTTCCATCTTAGAAAGAGATTGTAGAAAAGGGATCTTTTATTCCGATTTATTTTGGGGGACGGCCCCTGAGGAAAAGGTGATGTGTGAAAATACGGATGGGGGCACCAAGTTCCTTACCTCTGGTCGGGGGCCAGAAAATTGGAATCTTTTAATATTCCCTTTGTTCTCGCACTCTCTGGCAACTGAAGAGCTTAAAAAAAAAAAGAAAGAAAGAAAAAAAAAGAAAAAGAAAAGAAAGGAAAACGGGAGAAAAAAAAAAAAAGCTGAGGGAGGGGGGGAAAGGCTGGGGGAAGGTGGGGTTTAGCAGAATGAAAGGGACTGTGGTGTTCTTTCTCCGGGGTTGATTGTTCCCAGATGTGCAGTTGCAAAAACATCTGGCGCGGTCGGAGCCGCCGGACCCCTGCACGGAGGGAGCGGAGCCTGGGGAAGGGAAGGGGGAACAGCGGGGCCCTCCCGGCGGGGAGCGGCCGGGCCGGGGGAGGACGGGGGGGACGGGGGTGGAGGCGGCTTCATGCCCTCCTCGGTGGCCTTGGTGAAGGGGGGACGTCGTGGGGACATCGTGAGGATGTCGGCCCCGCTCCGGGGTCTCCGTCGGGAGCAGCCGCTGGCGTCACCATCGGGGCAGACGTGACCCGACTGTCCCCGTCCCGCAGCCAAACCCTGCGAGCTCCAGCCAAATTGGGGGAAATTCAGGGAACTGGAGCTCGGGAGAAGCTGTGCAGGCTGGAAACGGGGCTGGCAGAGAGGGCACTGCAGAGCCCTGCCCTTGGGAGGGCGGGAGGATGGCGGGGGATGGCTCCAGAGGTGGTGTCCGTCCATCCCTCCATCCATCCATCCATCCATCGTCCATCCATCCATCCATCATCCATCCATCCATCCATCATCCATCCATCCATCATCCATCCATCCATCCATCCATCCATCCATCATCCGTCCATCATCCATCCATCCATCCATCCATCATCCATCCTTCCATCCATCCATCCATCTATCCATCCATCCATCCATCCATCATCCATCCATCCATCCATCCCTCCATCCCTCCATCCCTCCCTGCTGGGATCCAGGCACTGAACCCAGATGATTTTTGGATCCGCGGGGTGCTGGCTCTGGTGTCCCACAGGATCCTGGCACCCACAGAACAGCAGGGCTCGGGATGGGGACAGCCAGCCCCCAGCCAGGCCCCAGGTGCTGTCCTGGGCCCAAGGTCTGCCAGCCTGGCAAAGCCTCCGGAGGCGCCGCTGGTCCCGTTCATCCCAGTCCCTTCAATCCCGGGACATTCCAGCCCAGCTCTGGGGCCGTGGGGAGCAGACAGGACCTGTCCCACCGAGGGCAGCCGGGGCTGAGCGTGCTGATCCAGCCCAGGCAGGGACCGACACCGTGGATTCCCAAAGCCAGGGAGGGTCTGGAGTCAGCACCTCCAGCAGCTCCAGTCCTGGAATGGGGAGGATGAGGTTCCCGGGGGATGAGCTGTGAGGGGAAGGGGCTTTGTTTGGTGGGGATGCAGGACACGGTCCTGAGGGAGCCGTGATGGTGCTGGAGAGGACCTGGGGAGCAGGGGGTGCCGCACGCTGGGTTCAGTGCAGGACAAGGGCCCTGGAAGGTGCCTTCAGTGACTGGGGTGGCTGGGAAACAGGAATATTGATATGGAGCGGGATGGGATCCCTGGAGGATCCCACAGTGGGGCTGGTGCAGGATGGGATCCCTGGAAGGTGCAGGATGGGATCCCTGGAAGGTGCCACTCTCTGGAGCTGGTGTGGGATGGGATCCCTGGAGGATCCCACAGTGGGGCTGGTGCAGGATGGGATCCCTGGAAGGTGCAGGATGGAATCCCTGGAGGATCCCACTCTCTGGAGCTGGTGTGGGATGGGATCCCTGGAGGATCCCACAGTGGGGCTGGTGCAGGATGGGATCCCTGGAAGGTGCAGGATGGAATCCCTGGAGGATCCCACTCTCTGGAGCTGGTGTGGGATGGGATCCCTGGAGGATCCCACAGTGGGGCTGGTGCAGGATGGGATCCCTGGAAGGTGCAGGATGGAATCCCTGGAGGATCCCACTCTCTGGAGCTGGTGTGGGATGGGATCCCTGGAGGATCCCACAGTGGGGCTGGTGCAGGATGGGATCCCTGGAAGGTGCAGGATGGAATCCCTGGAGGATCCCACTCTCTGGAGCTGGTGTGGGATGGGATCCCTGGAGGATCCCACAGTGGGGCTGGTGCGGGAGGACCCCCCTCTCTGGAGCTGGTGGGGGAGGGGATCCCTGGAGGACCCCCCCCTCCACAGCCGCTGCGGCCGGTCCCGCTGACTCTTCCCGGATGTTGCGGGGCTGGAGCCGCGTTCCCCCGGGATCTGGGCCCGGGAGCTCTCCCGGCACGGCGGGGTGATGTTCCCGCTCCGCAGGAATGAGGTTCCAAAGAGCTCCATTCCCCCGTGCCTCAGTTTCCCCGCTGCGGCAGCAGAGCCAGGAGAGCCCGGGGAGGATCCCCCCACCCGAGCGCCGGGAATGCCGACGGGATTCATCCTCAACCCCCTTCCCCTGGATTTCAGAGGAGTTTTGGGGGAGAATTTATCTTTTTACCCCAATTCTCCCCCTGTAACTGTCTGGGGATGGGGGAGGGGCGGCCGGCATTCCTGGCGGCTCCCGGCCTTGGCCCCTCTGCCCGCCGGGAGCAGCAGCCTTGGAAAACGCCGGGAAGCGCCCGAGGCCGCCAAACCCCACGGGATTCCTCTCAAAATCCGGGATTTTATCCTCAAATCCCCACGTTCCTTTGGATTTAGGGGACGCCCGAGTAAACGTGGCATCCCCCCCAAAAACAATTCCTTACCGAAGGAATTGGAAACCTCGGGAAAGGAGCCCCAAATTTCCACTCCGGGGGGTCTGGGCCTCTCCTCCCACATCCCGAGTGATCCGGGGAATGATCCCGACATCCCGGGAGTGATCCCGGATCCCGAGAGCGATCCCGACACCCCGGGAGTGATCCCGACATCCCAGGAATGATGCCGGGAGTGATCCCAGGAGTGATGCTGCATCCCGGCGTTTCTCCTCCCTGCTCTGCCCGCGGGATATCCCGGGGTTTGGTTCTTGAAAATCCCGTGGGAATGGGCGGGAAGCATTTTTGGGGAAATTCCTTGGTTTCTGAGGGCTGGGAGGGGGAGGATGTTTTTGGAGCCAGCTCCTGGGGACACCAGGGATGGGGAAGTGTCCCTGCACGTCCCCGCGTGTCCCTGTGTGTCCCTGAGTGTCCCCGCATGTCCCTGAGTGTCCCTGAGTGTCCCCGCATGTCCCTGAGTGTCCCTGAGTGTCCCCGTGTGTCCCTGAGTGTCCCCGAGTGTCCCCGAGTGTCCCCTCCCTCTGAATCCCCTCTGTTCACATCCAGACTCCTCCGGCTGCATCCCGGCCGCTCTCCCGCCCTTTCCCGTCATTCCAGCAGGATGAGAGCAGCGCAGCTCCTGGTGCTGTGTCTGCCAGGTGAGTGTCCCCAGCCCTGGGTGACAGCCCCGAGCCCCCAGCACCGTGTGGATCATCCCAATCCACATTTTCTCGCCCCACTTTTACCGGTTTTCCTCATTTTTAAACCCCAAGACACAACTGGAGGGTTCAAACTCTCATTTTCAGGGTCTAAACCCCAGCTCTAGAACCAAAAACCTTTTTTTTTTTTTTTTGTGCCCCCAAGCCTCATTTTTGCATCCCAAAACTTCATTTTTATGTTCCAAATCCTAATTTTTATGTCCCAAACCCTCATTTTTAGGTCCCAAACCCTCACTTTTATGTCCCCAAACCTCATTTTAACATCCCTAAACCTCAGTTTTAGGTCCCAAATCTTCACTTTTGGAACCCAAAGCTCTGATTCAGTGGTTGAAAACCACTTTTTTTATGGTACAAACCCTCATTTCTAAGTCCCAAATGCCCTTTTGGAGGTCTAAAGGTTCATCTTAATGCCCAAAATCTCATTTTCAAGGCCCAAAGTTTGGTTTTGAAAGCCCAAATCCTCTGATTTAGAGGCCAAAGTTTTGTACCAATGCCTCATTTTTACCCTCCAGAGTCTCATTCTGGGGATCAAAGCCACCAAAATTGCATTTTTAGGGCACAAAGTGTTAATTTGTGATACTAAAGCATCATTTGAGGGATGATCAGGAGGTGGCCACAACTCCCAGTGACTTTTGGGAGGCTGCACTATCACTCATTCCCTGTTAGTCCCCAAAATTCCCCCAAATCCCACTTTGGGCTCATCTTTAGTCTGGGAATGGCTCTGAGCCGGGGCCACGAGGCACCAAGCGAGTGGGGACATGGAGGTGGCACAAAAGTGGGACAGAATCCAGGGAAATTAGATTTATAACCCTGGGGGCTGGCAGGGGGATGGCTGGCGAGGGGCTGGAGCCAGAGCCAGGAGAAGTTGGGGTGAAAGTGGCTGCACACAAAGGGGGGACACAGGGAAAACCTCGGGGGGAGGGAAGGGGGCCGGAGCCCCAGAGCCCATCCTGCAGCATTCCCGGGACACGGAGGGATGGAGCGTCCCGGGCTGGGTGAGCTGAGCCCCCTTCCTGGGGATTCCAATCCCTTCCCAGGGATTCCAGTCCCTTCCTGGGATTCTGGTCCCTTCCCGAGGATTCCGGTCCCTTCCCAGTATTCCGGTCCCTTCCTGAGGGTTCCAGTCCCTCCGACTCTTCCACGCTGGATTTGGAGCCGTTCCCCCCGGATTCGTGTCAGGATGAGCTCCCAGGGGATGGAGGGGCTTGGACCATCCCGGGGTCAGCGGGGCCGTGGCAGCCGGGATCCTCTGGGATCACCCCTGGGGTCACCTCTGAGGTCACCTGGATGCTGCAGGGACCCCGGGCAGGGCTGATCCTGCATCCCTGAGCATCCCAAATCCTTCTCCTGCTCTCCTGGGGCCGCAGGGCCCTGAGGACAGAGGGGTGGGATTGGGGATGGTGGGAGCAGGGATCAGGCTGGGGGTGTCCGTGGGAACCCCGAATCCTGGGCAGGGGGTTTCTGTGGGGTTGGGGAGGTGGTGGGTGCAGGGAACCCCAAATCCCCTGTTTGGTGTGTCCGTGGGAATCCCAGATCCCGGTTTGGGGTATCCAGGGGAATCCCAAATCCCAGTCTGGGGTATCCATGGGAATCCCAGATCCCAGTTTGGGGTGTCCATGGGAATCCCAGATCCCGGTTTGGGGTTTCCATGGCAATCCCAGATCCCGGTTTGGGTGCTGTGCCCCCGCTGACCCCGGCCCTGTCCCGCAGTGCTCCTGGTGCAGGGACAGTTCAGCAGGTTCGAGGGCATCACCTACCCCGAGCCAGTCCAGTACTCCCAGTACGACCAGCAGGCAGGTGAGAGCCCGCGCTGGGACGGCCCCTGCCCCTTCTGTCCCTCTCCAGACAGACAGACACACATCCCTCTGATCCCGACAGACAGCCATCCCTCTAATCCCGACAGACAGCCATCCCTCTAATCCCGACAGACAGACATCCCTCTAATCCCGACAGACAGCCATCCCTCTGATCCCGACAGACAGACATTCCTCCCATCCCTCCCTCTTGCACTCCTTTTCCTCCGCCCCTGGAGTTCCCAACCTTCCCAGCTCCTCCCTCTGCTCTCACTGACAATTCTTTATTTACCTTTATCCAATTCCTTATTAAACATTTATCCAATTCTGTATTAATCCTTTATCCAATTCTTTACTAAACATTTATCCAATTCTTTATTTCCTTTTATCCAATTCTTTATTAACCCTTTATCTAATTCTTTATTAAACCTTTATCCAACTATTTATTAGAACTTTATGCAATTATTTTTTGAACCTTCATCCATGCCCATCCCCACCTGTGGGAAGTGGCCCAGGCTCATCCCTGGAGGGGCTGGAGGGAGTTTTCCTGGCCCACCCTGGCAATTCCTTATTAAACATTTATCCAAGTCTGTATTAACCCTTTATCCAATTCTTTACTAAACATTTATCCAATTCTTTATTTCCCTTTATTTATTAACCCTTTATCTAATACTTTATTAAACGTTTATCCAATTATTTCTTAACCCTTTATCTAATTCTTTATTAAACCTTTATCCAACTATTTATTAGAACTTTATGCAATTATTTTTTGAACCTTCATCCATGCCCATCCCCACCTGTGGGAAGTGGCCCAGGCTCATCCCTGGAGGGGCTGAAGGGAGTTTTCCTGGCCCACCAGGAAATGAGATCCCTGGAATTCCCACCCTGGAATTCCAGGGATCTCATTTCCCACTCCCCGTCCCCATAGGATGAGTTCTCTCCCCAAACCCTCCCTCAGCCTGTTTCTGTTTTATCCCCAGAAATTCAGGATTACTACGACTACCATGGTGAGTGTTTCCCTCTGGGATGCCGGGGGGGGATCAGGATTTGGGGGTGTCCCTGCACTGGGTCTCTCCCTACAGATGTCACCCCCCGAGCCCCGGAGGAGCAGTTCCGGTACCAATCCCAGCAGCAATCCCAGCAGGAAACCGTGCCGGCCCCGACCCCAGGTGGGTGACAGCCCCTGGGGGGGGACAGCCCCAAAGTGGGTGACGGTCACCAGGATGGATGACAGCCCCCGGGGTGGGGGATGACAGCCCCAAAGTAGGTGACAACCCCCAGGATGAGTGACAGTCGCAGGATGGGTGACAGTTCCCAGGGGTGGGTGACAGCCCCCCAAGCCCCCCAGTCCCGGGGCTGGGGTCTCTCTGTCCCTTCCCTGTCCCTCCAGCCCAGCTGTGCCCTCCCCACCCCGGAGCAGCCGGTGGGTGCCAAGGGTGCTCCAGCCCTAAAATCCCAGAAAAGGGCAGGGAGACACTTCTGTCCCATCCTGAAATTCCCTCCCCTTGTCCCCTTGTCCCCTATCACCTTGTCCCCCTGTCTCTCTGTCCCCTCTCCCCCGTCCCCTGTCCCCCTCAGCTGCGGTGCCCGAGACGGAGCCCACGGAGCCGGGACCGCTCGGTGAGTGCCGATCCCATTCCCGTTCCCTGTGCCGGGTCCCACCGTTCCCCCCGGAGCCGGGCTGTGCTGCCGGGGGGGGGAACATCCGGGGAGGGGGAAGGTGACAATCAGGGCGGGGGGTGGCGCCGGGTGAGGAATTCCCGGGAATTGCGGGTTCCGCAGACTGCCGGGAGGAGCAGTACCCCTGCACCCGGCTCTACTCCGTGCACAAGCCCTGCAAGCAGTGCCTGAACGAGATCTGCTTCTACAGGTGCGTGAGGGGGGGAAACATCCCCTGATCCCTCTGATCCGGGATTCTGGGAACCCCTCCGCTTTACATCCCCATCCTTTCTATCCCAAAAATTCCAGCCTCCGCCGGGTGTACGTCATCAACAAGGAGATCTGCGTCCGCACCGTGTGCGCCCACGAGGAGCTGCTGCGAGGTGAGGGGGGCCCCGAGGAACCGGCACCGTCCCACCCAAATCCCCGGCATTCCGGGAGGGAAAATCCCACGGGACCAAAGCTCCCGAGACTCCCGGGCAGAGCGGGGTGGGCTGTGGGGTTGGGCCGGGCTGTGCAGCAGTGGGGCGGGGGTCCCTGGCTGCTCCCAAAGCTCCCGAGACCCCCGGAGCAGAGCGGGGTGGGCTGTGCGGTGGGGCTGGGGGGCTTCCCTCGCTGCTCTCCCGGAGTTTTCCCGATTATCCAGGGGTAATCCCTCGCTCCCCGCAGCCGACCTGTGCCGGGACAAGTTCTCCAAGTGCGGGGTGATGGCCACGAGCGGCCTGTGCCAGACCGTGGGCGCGTCCTGCGCCCGCAGCTGCGGCGGCTGCTGAGCCCCGGCCCCGCTGCGCGCCCGCCCCGCGCCGCTGCGGCTCCCGTGCATGAACGAGCAGCCCCCGAACCCCCGGGATTCCTCTTTTCTTTGTGCACATAATAATTAAATCGGGGGGGTTTGTTATTTCTGTGCCTTTCTCTGTCCCGCGGGAGGGGGAGCCCCGGAGGGTCCCGCAGAGAGAGGAGGGGGAGCCCCGGAGGGTCCCGGCTCCTTCCTTTGGGGTTATTCCCAATTTCTGGGCTCCTGGCTCCTTCCTTTGGGGTTATTCCCGATTTTTGGGCTTCAGCTCCTTCCTTTGGGGTTATTCCCAATTTCTGGGCTCCCGGCTCCTTCCTTTGGGATTATTCCCAATTTCTAGGCTCCTGGCTCCTTCCTTTGAGATTATTCCTGATTTTTGGGCTCCTGGCTCCTTCGTTTGGGATTATTCCCGATTTTGGGGGAGTTTCTAATAATCCGAACAATTCCCAGCGCTGCACACAGGGGGTACGATGGTTTGGGGGGTTTTAGGGTATAAAATGGTCGAATTTAGGGTGGTGGTTGGGGGATGTGGGGGCTCAGTTTGGGGCAGTTCCTATAGGAAGATGTGCAGTATGGAAATGTTTGGGGTGAGGTCTGGGTCACTTATAGAAAATAAAGGGGGTTGGGGTGAGTTTGGGGCTGGTTTTGGGGTGTTGCCCAGTTCCCCTATAGAAGGGTGGTGGGTGGGGTCTCACAGTGAGTTTCTCCCCTATAGGACAATTTTCCCTCTGGAGGATGAATTTCCTCTCTCTAAGGTGAATTTCTTGTCTATAGGGTGAATCTCCCCTCTATGAGGTGCATTTCCCCTCTATAGGGAGAATTTGCCCCCAAAACTTCTCTCTCATCTATGGGGTGCAGCTTTATCCTCATCATTATTTGCTGTTTACTACAATTCCTTATCCTTTACTCTTCATTATTATTAATTATTATTATTGGGGTTTAATTCTTGCTTATTTCTATTTATTCTTCATTATTCTTATAATTCATTATTATTTAGGGACCTCATTCAACCCAGCCCAAATTTGGGCATTCCCAAAATACCAGCTTCCCCCCAAAAAATCCCTCAGAACTCCCAGTTTGGATTTTCCACGTTTATTCCAGCCAGGACTGGGGCGGGGTCAGAGCCACCACTTCCCTTCCCATGGCTTTCCCAACCTCAGGCTGCCCCAGAGCACCAGTAAAAACCCCCATTCCCAAAAATTCCATATAAAAATCGTGCTAGTTCCTTAAAAAATCCTTCAAAAACACAAATCCAAGGAGTTATTTTTGTTAGAAAAAGGGGGAAAATTAGGATGGGGTGAGGGCAGGGCTTGGAAGGCTGGAGGGGAATAAATCAGCTGGGTCTTCAGGGGCCAAAAAAGGGGAATATTTCCCATTTTTCCGTTAAAAACTGCAACAGGAAAATGGGTAAACCGTCCATGAGATTCCAGATTGTATCAAAAATAGACAAATTTTGTCGGCTGGTGGGAAAAGTGCAGCTTTTTCCTGGAGAAAAGGGAACGAGGAGACAAAAATCGCTGTGGGTTTGGAGCACAGGGATGGGGATGGATCCCGCTCACCCCTGAGCGGAGCTGCTGTGGATTCTGGGATCGGGGATGGGGATGGATCCCCCCATCGAGGAGCTGTGCCGGTCCCTGCGGATGTCCCGGAATTCCCGGAATTCCCTACGTTCCGCTGGGATGTCGCTGCAGCTCCTGCTCCTTGAGCAGCGCGATCTGCAGGAGGGAGGGAGGGGAAGCTGTGGGGCCGGGCCGTGTCCCCGGGCCGTGTCCCCCCGGGGCTGTCCCCGTGTCCCCGTGTCCCCCCGGGCCGTGTCCCCCCGGGCTGCGTTCCCCCGGGCTGTCCCCGTGTCCCCGTGTCCCCTCACCTGCTCCTCCAGGCCGCCGCGGCCGAGCCGGAGCCGCTCCAGCTCCCGCTGCAGCTCCGCGGGCGCCTCGGGGAGCGGCCGGGCCCGGAGCTCCAGCGCCGACACCTGCGCCTGCGGGGAGGGGTGAGGGGTGCCCGGCACCCCGCACTGGGCACTGCCTGCCGCGGGCACCCCAGAACGGCCTGGAGCCAGCGCCAGCACCAACACCAGCACCAGCACCAACACCAGCACAAACACCAACACCAGCACCAACACCAACACCAGCACAAACACCAACACCTCCCTGGTGTGAGCCAGCACCAACACCTCCCTGCCCCTGGAACAAGCCCAGCCCCATCCCAGTACCGGGACCATTCCCACCGGGATGAGCCCGGCCCCATCCCAGCACCAGCACCAGGCTCATTCTCATTAGGATGAGCTCCCAAAGGAGCAGCCCCAGCCCGTGGATCGGGATCAGCCCCATCCTGTGGATTAGGATCAACCCCAGCCCCAGCCCATGGATCAGCCCAGTCCCATCCCGTGGATCAGGATCAGCCCCAGCCCCATCCCGTGGATCAGCCCCAGCCCCATCCCGTGAATCAGGATCAGCCCCAGCCCCAGCCCATGGATCAGGATCAGCCCCATCCCGTGGGTCAGGATCAGCCCCAGCCCCATCCCATGGATCGGGCTCGCCCCGGCGCAGGGACCCACCCGCAGCACCTGGATGCGTTTCCGAGCCTCCTCCAGCTCCCGCTCGGCCGAGCCCGCGGGGGGATCCGGCCCTGCCGGGAGCCGCGCGGATCCAGCCCGGCCGGGGGGGTCCCGCTCCTGCCCAGACACACAGATAAATATTTATTAAAGTATGTGTAATAGATAGAAAAATACAGAGATATATTAGAGTAATATATATATATATACACATATATATGGCAATAGATCAATTATCTAATATAGTATCAGATAATTACATATGATGATATAGGTATGAGATGACAATTAGGTAATTAATTAGCCCATAAGGGTGTGGGGCTCTATGGGGGATCCACAATGTCCTGTCTGGGGTCAAAGGTCAGAGAATTTGGGGTGCGGCCCCGCTCACCTCCTGCTGCCGGTCCTGGGAGGACTCCGGTGGCATTCCCGGCTCCCGCGGCATTCCCGGCTCCCGGAACATTCCCGGCTCCCGCAGCATTCCCAGTTCCCGCTGCTCCCGCAGCTGCTCCCGCAGCATTCCCTTCTCCCGCCGCGCCTCCGCCAGCGCCCGCCGCGCCTCCTCCAGCCCTTCCTGGGACACCGGGGGGACAGCGGGACAGCTCCGTGACACCCGGGGAAACCCCCGTGACACCCGGGGAAACCCCCGGTGACGGGCAGGGGGCTCAGGAGGACTGGGACTGGGTCCAGGGAGAACTGGGACAGGATTCAGGGGAACTGGGGGAAGTTGGGAGGGGGTTGAGGGGGAAGAGGGAGGAGTTCCAGTGGGAACGGGGGCACTGGGAGGGGTTCAGTGGGAACTGGGGGAAGTGGGAGGGGGTTATGTCAATATTTCTGAATTTAATAGCACCAAGGGTCCCTTTGGCCTGAGGATAAGGGTGCCTGGCTGTGTTTGAGCCACAACTGAAGAGACTGGGAGTGGTTCAGGGCGAATGGGGGCACTGGGAGGGGTTCAGAGGGAACTGGGGGAAGTGGGAGGGGGTTTAGGGAGAACCTGGAGGACTGGGAGGGGATTCACAGAGAATGAGGGGACTGGGAAGGGGCTCGGGAGGAGCTGGAGGCACTGGGAGGCGGTTCAGAAGGAACCGGGGGCACTGGGAGGGGTTCCGGTCCCACCTGGAGCAGCCTCCGGTCCGTCTCGCCGGCGGCCAGCGCGTTCTGGAGCTGCAGGAGCCGCTCGTGGAGCAGAGACCCGTCCGGAGCCTCCCCCTTGGAGCCGCTCCCCGGTGGCACCGGGAACGGCCCCGAGCGGGACTCGGCCTGAGCCAGCTGTGCCCGGAACGGGAACGGAGAATGGGGAACTGGGGGCACTGGGAGGGGATTCAGGGGGAACTGGGGGCACTGGGAGGGGATTCAGGGGGAACTGGGGGGACTGGGAGAGGGCTCAGTGGGGGGACTGGGAGGGGACTGGGGGAACAGGATGGGTGTTCAGGAGGAACGCAGAGGAATTGGGAGGGTGTTCAGGAATAACTGGGAGGACTGAGAGGGGTTTTGGGGGAACTGGGGACAACTGGGATGGGATCCAGGGGGAACTTAGGGGAACTGGGAGTGGGTTCAGTGGGAGCTGTGGGACTGGGACAGGGCTCAGGGGAAACTGGGGGGACTGTGGGAACTGGAGTGGGTTCAGTGGGAGCTGTGGGACTGGGAAGTGCTTCAGGAGGCGCTGGGAGGGCTCTCGGGGAGGAACCGTGGGACTGGATCCATGGAAGGCCGGTTCAGCCCCTGGAATCCGGCGGGAGCGGTGCGGTACCTGCGTGCGGAGCTGCTCCGCTCGCTCCCGCGCCTCCCGCGCCTCCGCGTCCCGCTCGGCCAGCGCCCGCCGGGCCCGGCCCAGCTCCGCCTCCAGCGCCCGCCGCTGCAGCTCCAGCCGGGCGCTCCGGCCCTCGCACACCTCCAGCCTCTGCCGGGCCTCCTCCAGCTCGCCCAGCTTCTCCTGGAGCCGCCGCAATGCGGGCGTGGAGCCGGGATGTGCCGGGCACGCCGCCGTGCCCACCTGGACTGCCCCGCGCTCCCACCGGGCTGCCTGACACTCCCCAGGGGCTGCCCGGCATTCCCACCTGGATTATCCCACAGTCCCACCTGGACACCTGTCCCGCCCGCCGCTCCCTCTCGGCGGCGCGCATTCCGCTCTCCAGGGCGCTCAGGCGCTCCCGCAGCCCGCGGCATTCCCGCTGCGAGCGCCGCAGGCTCTCGTCCTGCAGCAGCAGCGAGGCGCGGGCCCCGCTCAGCTCCCGCCGCTCTGCGGGGTTGGTGGGGGTGCAGAGGAGGTGTTACTGGGGTTTGTGGGGGCCACCTGGACTGCTCAGCACTCCCACCCCATGGGGCTGCTCGGTATTCCCACCTGGATTATCCCACATTTCTACCTGTGCTGCCCCCCATTCCCACCCGGACTGCCGGCATTCCTGCCTGGATTTGACCCCAATTTCCAGCTGGACCATCCCACATTCCCAGCTGGACCCCCCCCGTTCCCCCTTGGGGATGCAAAGGGGTCTTAGTAGGGTTTTACTGGGATTTCTGGGGATGGAAGGGGGTGTTATTGGGGTTTCTGGGGCTGCAGTGGGGTTTTGATGGGGTATTACTGGGGTTTGTGGGGCTGCAGTGGCTAGGGGTAGGGTTAGGGTTAGGGGATGGAGCAATGGGAAAAAAGGAACTCCAGGGATGCAGGGGATTGAGCAATGGGAACACCCAGCGACACAGGATACTACAGTGGGGTTTTAATGGGGTTTATGGGGGTGCAGGGGGGTTTTACTGGGGTTTATTTGGTTTATGGGAATTGCAGAGGGGTTTATCCGAGTTTATGGGGGATGTTGGGAGGGTTACTGGGGCTTATTGGGATTTATGGGAGATGCAGAGGGGTTTTACCCATTTTATTGAGATTTATGGAATTTGCATGGGGGGTTCCCAGTTTTACTGGGAATTACAGGAAAAGCACGGGAGGTTCCCAATTTTACTGGGGTTTCTGGGAGATTCAGGGGGGATCTGAATCCCATTTTACCCACTTTATTGGGATTTATGGCATTTGCTCAGGGCATTTCCGAGTTTTCCTGGGGTGGTTGTGGGACACAGGCAGGTTTTACCAGTTTTACTGGGGTTTTATTGGAATTTTATTGGGGTTTTATTGGGGTTTTATTGGAATTTATGGGGGACAGACTGGGAGGGGTTACTGGGTTCACTGGGGTTTAAGAAGGATGCACAGGGGTTTTACCCCTTTACTGACATTGATGGAGACTGCACAGGGAGTCCACCAGTTTTACTGCACTTTATGGGGAATTTTTTAATGTTTTTTTTATTACTATTTTTTAATGGTTTCGGTATTTAATTTAATTTTATTGGCATTTCTGCAGTTTGCACAGGGTTTTTTTCAGCTGTTTTATTGGGGTTTACAGGAAATACATGGGGGATTTACCAGTTTTACTGGGATTTATGTGGGGTGCAGACAGGTTCTGCCCCACTTTATTGGGATTTATGGAGTTTGCACAGGGGGTTTTACCAGTTTTACCGGGTTTTGTGGAGTTTACCAGTTTAACTGGTATTTACATGGGATCCACAGGGGAGTTTAGCAGTTCCAGTGGGATTTATGGGCATCCATGAGGGTTTACCAGTTTCACTGGGATGTGTGGGGGATGCAGAGGGGTTTTACCCATTTCACTGGGGTTAGAAGGACATATGGAAATTTTTACCACTTTGTACTGCTGTTTAAAGGAGGTACAGACGGGGTTTACTGGGATTTATGAGGTTTCCCACCAGGATTTTGGAGGAAATCCCAGGGAGCACCCTTCGCTCTGGGCAGCACCACCCCCCTCCCTGTGCCTCAGTTTCCCTCCGAGCTGTTGCTCGCTGTGGCGGCTCCAGCAGCCGCCAGACCACCCCGAATCCCACACAGCCCCATCACCTTGCTCGCTCTCGTCCAGCAGTTTCTGGAGCCGCTGCGCGCGGGCGCCGGCGCTGTCCCGCTCCGCCTCCGCCTCCGCCAGGCGCCGGCCCAGGCTGCCCAGCTGCCCCCGGAGCTCCTCCTGCGGGAACGGGGCTGGCAACGGGCCGGGAAGGGCCCTTCGGGGTACCGGGGACGGGAGGGACAGGGGCACGCACCCGCTCCCGCTGCGCGTCCTGCAGCTCCCGCAGGAATTCCCGCAGCGCCGTCCGCAGCGCCTCGGGATCGGCCTCGGCATCCGGGAGCGAGCCGGGGCTGCCCGGCCCCTCCGGGCCCCCGCCTGGGGGGACAAGAGGGGTGGCAGGGGGACACCAGCCTGGGGGGAAGGGACAGAACAGCGGGGGACACCAGGGAGGCAGGAGATGGAGTGAAGGGGACCCTGGGGTGCAGGGGATGGAAGAACAGGGTTTGGGAGGCCCCAGAGATGCAGGGATGGAATAACGGGGTTTGGGAGGCCCCAGAGATGCAGGGATGGAATAACGGGGTTTGGGAGGCCCCAGAGATGCAGGGGGTGGAATAATGGGGTTTGGGAGGATCCAGGGATGCAGGGATGGAATAACGGGATTTGGGAGGATCCAGGGATGAAGGGGATGGAATAACGGGGTTTGGGAGGATCCAGGGATGAAGGGGATGGAATAAGGGGGTTTGGGAGACCCCCGGGATGCAGGAGCTGGAGCACTGGTGTGTTGGAGATGCCCAGGGCTGGATCACGGGATGACATTTCCCTTCCCCTCAGCCCCCTCCGGAGCCCCGGTGTCCCCGGGGCCGCTCACCCTTGGCCCTGGCCACGGCCACGGTGCGGCGCAGGGTGGCCTGGAGGCCGCCCAGGCGGGACTCGGTGGCCCTGCGCTGCTCCTCGCCGCGGGCCAGCTCCGCCTCCAGCCCCTGGGCCCGGCCCTGCGCCGCGCTCAGCCGCAGCCCCAGCTCGGCCACCTCGGCCCGCGCCGCCTCCACCTTGAGCTGCAGGTTCCGCGCGTCCGCCAGCAGCTTCTTCTCATTGCCCCGCGCCTCCTCCAGGCTGCGGGACAGCTCCTGCTCCCGCCGCCGGAACTCCTGCTCCGCCGCCGCCAGGCGCTGCTGCAGCTGCTGCAGCTGCGGGAGGGACAGGAGAGATGGGAGAGGGGAAGGGGGAGTGGGAGCGATGGGGAACGGGGGATGGAGCAATGGGGTGATGGGGGACCCCAGAGAGGCGGGGGATGGAGCAGTGGGGTCACAGGGGAACTCCAGGGAAGTGAGGGATGGAGCAATGGGAACACCCAGGGATGCAGGGGATGCAGCAGTGGGGCAGTGGGAACACCCAGGGATGCACGGGATGCAGTAGTGGGAACACACAGGAATGCAGAGGATGGAGCAATGGGAACACCCAGGGACACAGGATACCACTGTGATGGTGATGACTGGGGACAACAGGCACCAAGCTACGGCCTGAGGGGACAGGGACACCTCCAGACCCACAGGATAGCCAGCTATGGGGGCACAGGAACACTTCGGGATGTGTGTCACCTACAGCGGGGTCTTGGGGACCTTTGGGGACGCCCTCACCTCCTTCCTGGCAGCCTCGGTGCCGGCCTCGCTCTCGGCCACCTTCTGCCTGAGGCCGGAGGCCTCGCGGCGGCTCCGCTGCTCCCGCTGCTCCTCCAGGGCCACCCGGGCCTGCAGCTCCCCCAGCTCCCGGCCCCGCCGGCTGTTCTCGCTGTCCAGCTCCTTCACCTGCCCGCGAGGGGAGCAGCGGTTCGGGGACACCCCGAGGGCCGGGGAGGCTCCGTGCCACCGCCCGTCCCCGTGCCTGTCCCTGACCTGGCGGCGCAGCTCCTGCAGCTCCCGCCGGCTCTCCAGGCGGGCGCGCTCCAGCCCCCGCAGCGCCGCCCGCAGCTCCGACACCTCCCGCTCGGCCGCCGCCCGCGCCGCCTCCAGCAGCGCCAGCCGCTGCTCCTTGTCCTCCCCGGAGCGCTTCAGGCTGCGGGCAGCGGGGGCTGGCAGCGCCCGGGGGGGTGCCATGCCCCCGGTCCCAGCCGTGCCCATCCTGGGTGTCCCTCCAGCCCCAAATTTCCATCACTTTACCCTGAGCGTCCTCCTGACCTGGAGCAGCGCCCCATTCCAACCTGAGCATCTCAACACCTCCCCCAGCCCAGGCATCGCCCTCCAGGGTGGGGATCACCCTTGTAACTCCCAACTCCTGCTTTCCCTCATCCCGAGCATATCTCAACTTGTGCTTCCCTCATCCCAAGCATCTCCAGACTCCTGCATCTCCCAGCCCCTGCATCTCCCAACTCCTGTACCTCCCAGCCTGTGCTTCCCTCATCCTGAGCATCTCTCAACTTGTGCTTCCCTCATCCCGAGCATCTCGCAACTCCTGCATCTCCCAACTCCTGCATCTCCCAATTCAAGCAGCCCCTTGTCCCACTCATCACTCCGAACTCCTGCATCTCCCAGCTTGGACCTTCCCTTACCCTGAGCATCCCCCCAGCCCCGAGCAGCCCCTCCAAGGCGCTGCAGCCGCGCCCTGCACTCCCGGTGAGGCCATCCCGCGTTCCCGACCTGATGCGCTCTCCCTCGGCGCGCCGCAGGGCCGCCCGCAGCTCCTCGTTGGAGCGCTGCAGCGCCTCCTTCTCCCGGGCCGCATCGCCCAGCGCCCGCCGCGCCTCCTGCGCCCGCCGCCGCTCGGTGTCGCGGCCCTCGCGGCTGTCCCGGGCCTCTCGCTGCGCCTCCAGCAGCTCCTGCCGCGCCGCCGCCCGCGCCTCGGCCCCCGCCCGCAGCTGCGCCCGCGCCTCCTCCGCCTGCCCGGAGCGGGAACTCCAGGGATTTGGGGATTTCAGGGGGATGGAAGGGGTTTTGGGGCGCGGCTCACCTCCCGCAGGGCGCTGTCCCGCTGCTTGGCCGCCGCTGCCGCTTGGTCCCGGAGCGTCCTCGCCTCCCGCTCATGGCTCAGCGCCGCCTCCTCCGCCCGCGCCCGCAGCGAGCGCAGCTCCGCGGCCAAGGCCTGCGGGGACACGGCACCCTGAGAGCGCCCTTCCTCCATTCGGGGGTCCCGGGGGGCGGCACCAGGAGGATGGGGTCCCGGAGAGAGGGGGACAATGAGGATGGGGTCCCGGAGAGAGAGGAGGGACAGTGGGGTTGGGAGACAGTGGGTTCCTGGAACGAGGTGGGGGCAATGGGGATAGGGTCCCGGAGACAGGAGGACATTGGGGACGGAGTCTCAGAGACAGGGGGCCAGTGGGGATGGATCTGGGTGGGGGGGGAATGACAACGGGGATGGGTCCCAGAAAGAACGGGGGAAAATGAGGATAGGGTCCCAGAGAGAGCGGGGCAATGGGGATGGGGTCCTGGAGAGAGGGGGGCAGTAGGGGTGGTGCAGGGATGGGGCGAGGGGGCTCAGGTACCACAGTTGAGCCCCACTCCTGCAGGAGATGGGGGTTGAGGTTCGGGGCTGCAAAAAAAGGGGACACTGGGGGGGTCTTGCAATGGTGGGGGTGAGGCTCAAGCTGGGGGGTGCAATGGTGGGGGGTACCCAGGAGGGGGGGATACAATGGGAGGGCCATGGGGGATACCCAGGAATGAGGGGGCTGCAATGGGGGGGGCCACAGGGGCTATTCAGACAGGAGGAGCTGCAGGGGGGGATGCCCAGGAATTGGGGGGTGACAAGGGGACACCCAGGCACAGGTGGCTGCAGGAGCAGGGGACACTTTGGCAATGGGGGTTGCAAAGAGGGAAGACACCTGGGCACAGGGGCTGGAAGTGGGGGCTCTGTGGGGCTCTGTGCCACCCTGGGGGGGTTCTGGGAGCCCCCCAAACTCACCTGCTCCTTCTCCTGGTGGCCCGTGACCTCTCGCCGCCGCTGCTCCAGCTCGGCTGTGGCCTCATCCAGGCTCTGCTGGAGCCCTGCCAGTGTCCCCGCCAGGGCCACCCGCTCCTCCTCCTGCAGCGCCAGAGCCTGGGGGACATTGGGGGTGGCACAGGGCTGGGGGGGCATGGAGCTGGCACAGGGCTGGGGGGACATCAGGGGTGGCACAGAGCTGGGGGATACCATGGGTGGCAAAGGGCTGGGGGGACATGGAGCTGGCATAGGGCTGGGGGACATGGAGCTGGGACAGGGGGACAGGGGAGTGGCACAGGGACAGGAGGACATGAAGGCTGGCACAAGGACAGGGGGACAGGGGAATGGCATAGGGCTGGGGGACAGGGGAGTGGCACAGGGCTGAGGGGACATCAGAGGTGGCACAGGGACAGGGGGACAGGGGAGTGGCACAGGGCTGAGGGGACATCAGAGGTGGCACAGGGACAGGGGGACAGGGGAGTGGCACACGGCTGAGGGGACATCAGAGGTGGCACAGGGACGGGGGACATCAGGGCCACCACCTGCTGCTTCTCGCTCTGGCGCTGCTGCCGCGCTGCCGCCAGCTCGGCCACCAGCTCCTCGTGCTCCTGCACCAGCCGGCCCCGCTCGGCCTCCAGCTCCTCCTGCCAGCCCCAAAATCACCAGTGGACCCCAAAAATCATCAGCGAACCCAAACAATCCTGCAGCCCAAGCATTGTGCCCCAACAATCAGTGGGAATGTCAGAAATCAAGGTTGCCCCCCAAAAATCACCACTGTACCCTCAACAATCAGCACGTGCATCAAAAATCAGCTCTGCACCCCAAAAATCTACATTTTGCCCCAAAAATTACCAGAGCCCCAAACCCCAACATTGTTCCCCAATAACCACCATCATGCCCCAACAATCACCCTTAAAACCCCCAAAATCACTATTGCACCCTAAAAACCTCCACCACAGCACCCCAAAATCCCAGCACCATGCCCCTCAAATCCCTCCTGCAGCCTCAAACCCTCGTGCCCCCCCACCCCGTGCGCACCTTCTCGCGCTGGAGGTGCTCCAGCTGCTCCCGGTGCGCGTCGCGGGCGCTCTGCAGGGCCGCTGTCACCGCGGCCGCCTCGGCCACCGCCACCGCCTGGCGCCGCTCCCGCAGCTCCTGCGCCCGCTCCCGCCGCGCCACGCCCAGCTCCGCTGGGGACACGGGGACAGCCCGGTCATGGGGACAGCCCCGCCATGGGGACAGCCACGGTCACAGGGACACACCTCAGGGATAGGGTCACCACTCAGTCATGGGGACACCCCCAGTCATAGGGACGTCCCAGAGCTAATGGGGACCCACCAGTCACTGGGGACAACCCCAGTCAGTGGGAACACCATCCCCAGTCATGGGGACAGCCTTAGCCATGGGGACACCTCCCCATAAGGGGGAGCACCCACAAGTCATGGAGACACCCCCTGTCAATGGGGAAGAGGGGATGGAGCTGAGGATGAGGATGGGGATGGACAGGGACGAGGATGGAGATGATTGATGGAGATGGACAGTGAAGACGGAGATGGACGAGGATGAAGATGGAGATGGATGAGTGGGAACTGGCCATGGCCGGGACGATGGAACATGCGGGTGGCCGGGACCCCTCACCCTCCAGTGCCTCCTTGGCCTGGGTCAGTGTCTGGCCTTGGGCCTCCAGCTGCTGATTGCGGGCCTGGAGCTGGGCCAGCTCCTGTTGCAGCTGGAACACGGCGCTCTCCAGCCCCTCCTTCTCCGACCTGCGGGACACCGGGCACAGGGCTGAGCACAGGGCTGGGCACAGGGGCTGGGGACGGGGCTGGACCCGCCCTGGCACCCTCTGAGCCCAGCACTCCCCTGAGCCCGGTACCCTCTGAGCCCGGCCCCACCTGAGCCCGGCGGCCTCGCGGTCGCGGTGCCGCTCCTGGCGCTGGGCAGCCGCGAGCTGCACGGCCAGCCCGGCCCCGTCCTGGGCCAGCGCCGCCTGGGTCCGGCCCAGCCGCTCCTGCTCCGCCCGGAGCCGCTCCTGCTCCGCCCGCGCCCGCGCCAGCGCCTCGCCCGCCGCGCTCTGCTCCTGCACCGCCTGCGGCACACCGGGGACACCAGCGACAGCCCGGGGACACCAGTGACAGCTCAGGGACCACCAGTTACCGCATGACCCCTCCCAGTTACCCTTGGCAGCCTCCCCACCCCTCCCAGTTAGCCCAGACACTCTTCCCACCTCTCCCAGTTGTCCCTGGCACTCTCCCATTTACCCCTGACACCCTCCCAGTGGCCCCATGCCCCCTCCCCACCTGTCTCAAGTACACCTCGCACCCTCCCCAATGCTCCCAGTTGTCCCTGGTACCCTCCCAGTTACCCCTGGCACCCTCCCCAGCGCTCCCAGTTGCCCCAGCACCCTCCCAGTTGCCCCCGCCGTGCCCACCTGGCCCAGGCTGTGGCGCAGCCGCTCGTGGAGCCCACGCAGCTCCCGCAGCTCCTCCCGCAACCCCCGCCCGTCGTCCCGGGGGTTCCCCCGCGGCCGCTCCAGGTCCCGCCGCTCGCTGCCGGGGCGGGGGCCGCTCTCCAGCCGCGCCCGCAGCAGCGCCAGCTCCCGGCACAGCTCCCGGCTGCGCAGCCGGCCCCGCTCCCGCTCCTGCTCCAGCCGCTCCAGCCGCCGGCCCAGCTCCGCCTTGTCCCGGGCCAGCCCGGCCGCCAGCTCGCTGGTCTTGGCCAGCGCGTCCCGCAGCCGCGACTCCTCCGCCTCCGCCGCCCGCCGGGCCTCCGCCAGCTCCCCGCAGCTGCCCTGCGCCTGCGAGCGGGCACCGGCTGGCACCGGGGGCACGGCGGGATGGGGCGACGGGGGCAGGGGCAGTGCCTGGGGCAGGGGGACACGGGGAGCACCTGGGGCTCAGGGAACACCTGTGGCATGGGGGCACCTGGGGCTCACCTGGGACCTGGGGTGCACCTGGGGCACAGGGGGCACCCGGGGCATTGGGGACACTTGGGGATACCTGGGGTATGTGGGGACACCTGTGGAACAGGGCCATGGGCAGCTGGGGCATGGGGCTGCACCCACAGCAGGGCTGGCACTCCCGGGGATACATCCACGGGGATTCACCTGTACCCACGGGGATGCACCTGTATCCATGCCCAGCCCCACTGTGGGGCAGGCCCGGGTGCCCACCTTGCCCAGGGCCTCTGCCAGCGCCTCCTGCTCGCCCCGGGCCAGCTCCGCCTCCAGCAGCGCCCGGCTCAGCTCCTCCCGCGCCTCCAGCAGCTCCCGCTGCGCCCGCGCCCGCTGCGCCTCCAGCTCCTGCACCTGCTGCTGGCTGTGTGGGGACAGCACAGCCCATCTGTGCCCGCCTGTGTCCCCTGTGCACCCACCTGTGCCCCCCTGAACCCACCTGTACCCACCCGAACCCTCCTGTACCCCCCCGCACACCCACCCATGCCCCTGTACACCCATCTGTGCCCACCTGTGCCCACCTGCATCCATCACAGGTAGGTCCTGGGGGTGCTGTGCCCTCCATCACCTACCTATGTGCACCTGTATGCACCTGAGCCCACATGCACCCACCTACAACCACCTGTGCCCACCTACACCCACCTGAGCTCATCTGAACCCTCTTGGACCCCTCGTATACCCTGTACCCACCTTGACCCCATACACACCTGGGTCCCCCCGGTGCCCACCTGGCTCCCCACCTGAACCCTCCTGTGCCCACCTGTGACCTCCACACCCACCCATGCCCCGTGCCCACCTGTGCTCCAGCTGCTCATGGGCAGCCTGGGCGTCACGGGCAGCCTGGTCCCGGGAGTCCTGCAGCCCCTCGCTGCGGCACCGCAGCTGCTCCCGCTCCTGCTGCAGGGCCCCCGCCCGCTGCTGCTCCTCCGCCAGCGCCGCCTCCGCGCGGCACAGCTCCCTGCGGACACACGGACATGGACACACGGACACACAGACATGGACACAGGGACACACAGACACACAGGCACATGGACACAGGCACACAGCCATGGATACATGGACACAGGGACACGGGCACACAGACACATGGACACACGGGCACAGGAACATGGACACACGGGCACACGGGCACACAGGCACACAGACACACGGGCACATGGACACATGGACACATGGACACACGGGCACAGGAACATGGGCACACAGGCACACGGGCACACAGACACACAGGGACATGGACACACAGGCACATGGACACATGGACACAGGGACACACAGGGACATGGAAACACAGACACATGGGCACATGGATACACAGGGACATGGACACGGGCACAGGCATGGGCACATGGACACACAGACACATGGGCACATGGACACACAGGCATAGGCACATGGACACAGGGACACACAGATGCACAGGGACAGACAGATGGACATTCAGGGACAGACACAGGGACACACAGGGACAGACAGCCGGACACACAGGACAGACAGAGGGGTGGTACCTGCGCAGCCCCTCGACCTGGGCCCGCAGCTGAAGCCCCTCCCGCTGGGCCTCCTCCTGCGCCCGCCTGCAGCTCCCGGCCTCGGCTCCCAGCTGCTCCAGCCGCTGCTCCAGCATTCCCAGCTCCCGCCGCAGGCTCCCGGCCGCCTCCCGGCCCGCCTCCACCTGGCTCCGGGCCTCCTGGGGGCCAGCCTTCATCAGATCCTTCCCTCGTTCCCATCCTTCCCATCCCCCATCCCATCCCATCCCATCCCATCCCATCCCATCCCATCCCATTATGCCATTATCCCATCCCATCCCCATCCTCCTCCTCCTCCCAGCTCACCTGCAGCTGGAGCTGGCGCCGGCTCAGGGCTGCATGGATGGCAGCGGCAGCGGCGCTGGCAGAGAGGCTGCGGAGAGGGGACACGGCGGGACACGGAGGGGACACGGGGGGACACGGGGGGGACACAGCAGGTGTGGGGGGCTCGGGGTCATCAGCCAGAACCGCCTATTCCCAAGAAAATCCAGGGGAAAGTGAGGCAGGGAAGGGAATTAAGTCAGTGAAGGGGGGAACAAACCAAGGTGAGAAAGGGGACACGGAGTCCAGGGAAGGGGAAAATGAGGTGGGAAATGGGAAATCAAGTCAAGGGGGAAACTGAGGCAGGGAGGGGAAAACTGAATCAGAGAGAGGGGAAACTGAATAAGAAATGCAAAAATGAATCAAGGAAGAGGACACTGAGACAAGGAGGGGACACTGAGGCAGGGAGGGGACACTGAGGCAGGGAGAGGCCCCTCCTGGCAGTGGGTGGCCCCGGGGTGTCCCAGCACCTGGGTGACCTCGTGCAGCGTCCGGCGCAGCAGCTCCAGCTCGGAGCGCAGAGCCTGCATCTGCTCCGGCGTCGGCTCCCGGGCACGCGCGGCCTCCTGCAAGCCCCGGGATGGGATCAGGCCGGGAATGACAGACCTGCATCCCCAAACTCCCACACCCTGCACCCACCAGCTCCCGCAGCTGCAGGGTCAGCGCTTCCACCGCCCGCTCCTTCTCCTCGTCCTCGCTCCGGCGCCGCTCCAGGGCCGCCGTCAGCTCTGCCAGCCTGGCCAGGACACAGCCGGCATCCAACACCCAATATCCAACATCCAACATCCAGCACCCAACACCCAGCATGCAGCATCCAACACCCAGCATCCAACACCCAATATCCAACATCCAACATCCAGCACCCAACACCCAGCATGCAGCATCCAACACCCAGCATCCAACACCCAATATCCAACATCCAACATCCAGCACCCGGGAGTCCTGCAGCCCCTCGCTGCGGCACCGCAGCTGCTCCCGCTCCTGCTGCAGGGCCCCCGCCCGCTGCTGCTCCTCCGCCAGCGCCGCCTCCGCGCGGCACAGCTCCCTGCGGACACACGGACATGGACACACGGACACACAGACATGGACACAGGGACACACAGACACACAGGCACATGGACACAGGCACACAGCCATGGATACATGGACACAGGGACACGGGCACACAGACACATGGACACACGGGCACAGGAACATGGACACACGGGCACACGGGCACACAGGCACACAGACACACGGGCACATGGACACATGGACACATGGACACACGGGCACAGGAACATGGGCACACAGGCACACGGGCACACAGACACACAGGGACATGGACACACAGGCACATGGACACATGGACACAGGGACACACAGGGACATGGAAACACAGACACATGGGCACATGGATACACAGGGACATGGACACGGGCACAGGCATGGGCACATGGACACACAGACACATGGGCACATGGACACACAGGCATAGGCACATGGACACAGGGACACACAGATGCACAGGGACAGACAGATGGACATTCAGGGACAGACACAGGGACACACAGGGACAGACAGCCGGACACACAGGACAGACAGAGGGGTGGTACCTGCGCAGCCCCTCGACCTGGGCCCGCAGCTGAAGCCCCTCCCGCTGGGCCTCCTCCTGCGCCCGCCTGCAGCTCCCGGCCTCGGCTCCCAGCTGCTCCAGCCGCTGCTCCAGCATTCCCAGCTCCCGCCGCAGGCTCCCGGCCGCCTCCCGGCCCGCCTCCACCTGGCTCCGGGCCTCCTGGGGGCCAGCCTTCATCAGATCCTTCCCTCGTTCCCATCCTTCCCATCCCCCATCCCATCCCATCCCATCCCATCCCATCCCATCCCATCCCATTATGCCATTATCCCATCCCATCCCCATCCTCCTCCTCCTCCCAGCTCACCTGCAGCTGGAGCTGGCGCCGGCTCAGGGCTGCATGGATGGCAGCGGCAGCGGCGCTGGCAGAGAGGCTGCGGAGAGGGGACACGGCGGGACACGGAGGGGACACGGGGGGACACGGGGGGGACACAGCAGGTGTGGGGGGCTCGGGGTCATCAGCCAGAACCGCCTATTCCCAAGAAAATCCAGGGGAAAGTGAGGCAGGGAAGGGAATTAAGTCAGTGAAGGGGGGAACAAACCAAGGTGAGAAAGGGGACACGGAGTCCAGGGAAGGGGAAAATGAGGTGGGAAATGGGAAATCAAGTCAAGGGGGAAACTGAGGCAGGGAGGGGAAAACTGAATCAGAGAGAGGGGAAACTGAATAAGAAATGCAAAAATGAATCAAGGAAGAGGACACTGAGACAAGGAGGGGACACTGAGGCAGGGAGGGGACACTGAGGCAGGGAGAGGCCCCTCCTGGCAGTGGGTGGCCCCGGGGTGTCCCAGCACCTGGGTGACCTCGTGCAGCGTCCGGCGCAGCAGCTCCAGCTCGGAGCGCAGAGCCTGCATCTGCTCCGGCGTCGGCTCCCGGGCACGCGCGGCCTCCTGCAAGCCCCGGGATGGGATCAGGCCGGGAATGACAGACCTGCATCCCCAAACTCCCACACCCTGCACCCACCAGCTCCCGCAGCTGCAGGGTCAGCGCTTCCACCGCCCGCTCCTTCTCCTCGTCCTCGCTCCGGCGCCGCTCCAGGGCCGCCGTCAGCTCTGCCAGCCTGGCCAGGACACAGCCGGCATCCAACACCCAATATCCAACATCCAACATCCAGCACCCAACACCCAGCATGCAGCATCCAACACCCAGCATCCAACACCCAATATCCAACATCCAACATCCAGCACCCAACATCCAGCACCCAACACCCAGCATCCAACATCCAGTATGCAACATCCAACATCCCCGACCTCACATCCCTTCCCATCCACGCCACAGCCCCAAAACCTTCCCCATGAAACATCCTCCATGGCCCCATTGCGGTGCATCCTCCCCATCCTGGTGCTCCTGCATCCCATCCCTCTGACCCATATTCCCTTCCCGTCCTGTGCCACATCCCCAAAATCTTCCCTGTGGAACATCCTCCTGGTCCTCCTGCAGCCCTCCTGGTGCTCCTGCATCCCATCCCTCTGACTCAGTCCCTCCCCACCCTGTGCCACATCCCCTGCACTTCCATTCCTCCCCTCGCCCACCGGGTGTCCCCCAGCCCCCGGTACCTTGCTGCCAGGGTGGCTTTCTCCAGCTCCGCGTCCCGTGCCCGCGCCGCCAGCTGCTCCTGCAGCTGCTCCAGGCGCAGCTCCTGCCGCTCGCGGGCCGCTCCCGCCTGGCTCTCGGCCAGCCGCAGGTTGGCGGCCAGGTGCAGGCAGGCGGCGTGGGCGGCGCGGCCCGTCCGCGACACCTCGTGGCCCAGCTCCGACAGGTCCCTGTGCGGGAGGGAGGCGCAGGGTGGGATCCCCAGGGATCCCCGGAGGGAGGGAGCCCGCCCCGGGTCCCGCTGACCTCTCGGTGGTGGCCTTCATCTCCCCGAAGTGGCGCCTGAAGGTCACCAGCTGCCGCCAGAGGGTCAGGAGCCGGCTGTGCTCGTTGCTGAAGTAGGTGTTGAAGGACTGGGGTGGGATGGAGAGGGATCAGGGATCCACCACGGTCCCCAAATTCCCAAATATCCCTCCTGGCCACACCCATCACCCCAACGGTCCTCCGCAGCCCCACCCCAATTCTTGTGGGCACGGAGGGGGGGTGACACGTCCCTGCCTCACATCCCGTTCCCATCACATCCCCCATGGTCCCACATCCCTCCCATGGGTCCTGTGTAATTGTCCCTCACACATCCCTGCATCCCCCTGCCTCATCTCCCTTTCCCATCCATGTCACACCCCCAAATCCTTCCCCACGGAACATCCCCCCGGCCCTGCATCCCTCCTCAGTGACCCCACATTCCGCAGCCCTCTGTCTTGCATGCTCTTCCCATCACGTCCCCCCCATATTCCCCAAACTCTGCTCTTTGCAGCATCCCCCACCACCCCACACCCCTCTCCATGATCCCACATCCCCTCATCCCCCTGCCTCACACCCCTCTCCCTGCTGCTGCTCCCTGGTGTCCCCTGTCCCTGCCCGGGTGTCCCCCACCTCCTCCTCCCGCCTCCACTCCGCCTCCCGCTGCTCCAGCTCGTCCCGGGCCCGTGCCCAGTCCGCCGTGAGCTTCCGGATGTCCTCGCTCAGCGCCGCGTTGGCCACGTTGGCCTGCTCCAGCTGCTCCCGCAGCATCGAGTTCACCTGCACCAGGCTGCTGCTCCTGGCACCGGGGATCAACGAGGTCAGGATCCCATGGGAATCCTCACATTCCCCTCGGGATCCCACCCAGCTCTGCCACTCCTGGGATTGAGGATCACCGAGCTCAGCATCCTCTGGGAATCCTCACACCCCCCCCGGGTCCTGCCCACCTCTGCTGCTTCTGAGACTGGAGATCACGGGGGTCAGCATCCCCTGGGAATCCTCACATTCCCACCCACCTCTGCTGCTCCTGGGATTGGGGACCACTGAGTTCAGCATCTCCCGGGAATCCCCACATCCCCTGGGTCCTGCCCACCTCTGCTGCTCCTCCTCCAGCCGGATCAGGGCGTTCTCCAGCTCGTTGCTGCTCTCCTCATCGGGCTGGGAGCCGCTGGCATCCAGCTGGATCTGTGGGAATATCCCCTGGTGGCCATCACCCCAATTTGGGATTTGGGGCAGGGGACCCCCAAAGCCTTCCTCACTGTCAGCCTCTCCTGCTCCAGCTCCGTCGCCTTCTCCAGCAGCTGCTGCTCCACTTCCCCACATTTCTTCTTGTACTGCAATACCTGGGGGAGAGACAGGGGGTGACACCAATGGTGGGGTGTCCCCAGATTACCCCAGTGCCCCGCCAGGAAGGATTTACCTTGGCTTGGAGCTTCTGCACCAGCTGGGCCTGGCGCTGCTGGCCCTCCTGGTAGGCCTGGAGCTTCCTCTTGTAGGCAGCCTGCTCCTCCTCCAGCAGCCTCCGGAGCTCGATGTTGTGCTGGGCCAGGCTCCGGCTCTCGGCTGCTTCCTCTGGCTCCAGCCGCAGGCTCTGCTCCAGCTGGGATCAGGGGAGCCCAGGCTGGCACCCTCACACCCCTGGGCATCCCCAGCCTCTCTTCCAGGGGTTCCATGGTAAATCCCAGCCAGCCAAAGGCCCCGATTCCCACATTCTCCCATTTCTCCATGCACAGGGAGGGGATGAATGGGGAACTTCTGGGGTGGTTTTAAGGATAACTCAACCTCCAGTCTGTGGGTTCAGCAAAGCCCCTTCCCAGTTTGCATGGAGTGGCTGATGGATAAAGGATCCTTGGGTACAGGATTGGAAACTTGCCTGGGGATATTTTCCTGATATTTGCTTTTATTTTTAATAATGAGGCACAAACCAAGGGATTCCTCCAGTATCCCATCAGTTTGGGGCACACTCAGCACTGGGAGGGCCAAAGCCCTTAGGAATTCCTGGTTGCCAGGGCAAAGTGCTGGAAAACTGAAGGATTCCCACAGGGAGGGGGGGGTTCCTTCCCAAAAATCCAGCAGGACAAATAAAACAGGGAGGGACAAGCCTTGGCAAGCCAGGACTGGTCTGGACAATTCCCACCACGGGGACACCACAGCTCCCCCACCCCACACAGGGAACGCCAGGGCTGGAGCTGGCACCACCTGGAGTTTGGGACTGAAAAGGCGATTTGGGAGGGCTGGCTGAGGGCATTGTACCTGATGGACAGCTCTGGATTTTGGGGTTAAAAAGGGGGATTTGGGAGGGCTGGCTGAGGACATTGTACTTGATGGCCAGCTGTGGATTTTGGGGCTGAAAAGGGGGATTTGGGGGAGCTCACCCGCTCACTGAGAGCGTTGTACTTGATGGCCAGCTGTGGATTTTGGGGTTAAAAAGGGGGATTTGGGGGGCTCACCCGCTCACTGAGGGCGTTGTACTTGATGGCCAGCTGTGGATTTTGGGGTTAAAAAGGGGGATTTGGGGGGCTCACCCGCTCACTGAGGGCGTTGTACTTGATGGCCCGCTGTGGATTTTGGGGTTAAAAGGGGGGATTTGGGGGGCTCACCCGCTCACTGAGGGCGTTGTACTTGATGGCCAGCTCATCGCGCTCGGCCCGGCTCTGCGCCAGCAGGTCCTCGACGCGGGACAGCTCCTGCTGCAGGATCCTGTTCTCCTCCTGCAGGGACAGCAGCGAGGCCATGGCCCCTGCAGGATGGGATGGAGAGAGGCAGGATGGGATCCGGGATCTGGGATCCAGGGTGGGATCCAGGGTGGGATCTGGGACAGGATCCAGCCCAGGACACAGCCAGGGCATCCTTTGCCACCACGAGCTGCTCTGCTCCCCTTGGGAAGGGGCTGAGCCCTCCCTGGGTGCAGCATTCAGATAAAGGATCCTCAGGGATAGGAACGACAACCTGCCTTGGGATTTTTCCCTGATATTTGCTTTGATTTTAATAACCAGGAACAAACGGGGATTTCTATCAAAATCCCACCACCCCTCAACATGTCTCCTCCAGCCCATGGGGAGCATTCTGCCCCCTGGCCTGGCTGGAAATGCCACCTCCCACACTCAGACATTCCAAGGAATGCTCTTTGTGAGGGAAGAGCTGCTGGAAATGCACAGTTCTGGTCAAAAACCCACGGGAAATTTGCAGTTGTGACTGCAAGGACGTTCAGATCCATGTTCACAATCACAAAATCTGCCAGGGATTTGCAGCTGCAACCACAAAATGGCCAAAATCTGGAGTATGGGATCACAAAGTGCTGCAGATCAACAGTTGTGATCCAAACCCACTTCATTTTGCAGCTGCAACATAAAACCTCTGTAAATGTGTGTTTGGGATTATAAATCTATGGCAGGTTTACAGCTGCAAGAGCAAAACTGCTGCAGATTTGCAGCTATGATCCCCAAACTGCTGCAAATCAGTGTTTGTGATCACAAAACCCCTGCAGATTTACAGCTGCAGTCATAAAACTGTTACAAATTTGCATTTGGATCCCAAAACTGCTGTAAATTCATGACTGTGATCCCAAAACTGCTGCAGGTCTCCAGTTACAATCCCAAAACACGTGGCAGATTTACAGTCACAACAACAAAATCACTAAAAATTCATGTTTGTGATCCCAAACCCGCTGCAGATTTCCAGTCACAATCCCCAAACTGTTGCAAATTAATAGTTGACACCAAACTCACTGTAAACTCATGTCTGTGATCCCAAAACTGCTATAAATTCCTGTTTGTGTTTTCCAAAACTGCTGCAAATTCATGTTTATGGTCCCAAAACCGTTGTAAATTAACGTTTTATTCCAGAACTGTTGCAGATTTCCAGTTACAACCACAAAAAATGCTGCAGATTTGTAACTGCAATCACAAAACTGACACAAAATTTGGATTTCTAATGCCAAAACCTCTGCAAATTCATGTTTGTGATCCCAAAACCACTGCAGATTGACAGTTGCAATCATAAAACTGTCACAAACTTGCATTTGTGATCCCAAAACTGTTGTGAATTCCTATTTGTGATCCCAAAACTGCTGCAGATTTCCAGTTACAACAACAAAACTGTTGCAGATTTACAGTTGCAACCACAAAATCATTAAAAATTAGTGCTTGTGATCCCAAACTCTGCTGCAGATTCACAGCTGTGATCCCCAAACCGCCGAAAATTCGCATTTGCGATCCCCAAACCACCGTAAATTCTCATTTAAGATCCCAAACCGCGGCACTTTTCCATTCGCGGCCGCAGACCCGCCCCTGATTCTCCGCTGGGATCACGGAGCCGCCCCGATCCGCGATTTTCCCACCACAACCCCCCTTTGCCCTCCCAAACCCGCTGCCCGAGTGCCATTCCCGATCCCACTCCCGACCCCGATCCCGGTCCCGGTCCCGTTCCCATTCCCGGTCCCCATCCCACGCTCCCCCCGCCGGGGGGGACGCGGTGTCCCCACCTCAGCCCCGGGAGCATCTCCCGAGCCCCGGGCACCCCCTTGCCGCGGCCTCCTCGTCCCCCGGTCCCTTTTCCCGGGATTTGGGGCGGTTCGGGCTCGGTGCCCGCCCGCGGGAAGCGGATGCGGGGTCGGGATTAGCCCGAAATCCGCGTCCCCTCCCCGCGTGACGGCGGGAGCGGGGACCCTCCTCTTCCTGGAGGTCCCGACAGCGGCACGGCCCCATCCTGCCCCAGCAGCCCCTCAGCATTCCCGGGCTCTGCCGACAAACCCACCCCGAGGCTCCGGGCGGGAGCAGAAGGAGGAAAAGGAAGGGAACCAGAAGCAAACGGCAGCCCCGGCCGTGCCCGCAGGCGTGGGGCGGTCCTTACCCGGGACGGAGCCGCTCTCCCGGGGCACGGCGCTCCCGCAGGGCCCTGGCCTTGAGCCCCGCGCTCCTTAAGCTCATTAACCCCGAGTTGGCTCCGGCAGGAAAAGCTCCGGGGTGGAGCGAGCCGGGGTTGCCGAGGGGTGAAGCGGCTTTAACACCCCCGGGATGCGGGTATGGCCCCGGGACCCCGGATCATCCCCCCTGCCGGAGCTTTAATTATCCCCAGCGTAATCAAAGACTTTCTGCTCCCACCCTGGGTAACGTGGGCATAAAGCCCCAAGCCGGGCCCCAAATCCCCCAGGACGGGGGCTGGAGGCGTCCCTGCCCCTGAAACAAGGGATGGATCCGGTCCCAAGCCGCGCTCCGGGCAGGAGGGGCTCGCCCGGCCGCCCTCCCCTCTCCCCCCACCCCGGCAGGGAAAGTGCCCTTTCTCCCCCGGAGATTACCAGGGCCGGGAGCAGGCAGATGGGATTGAGGATTTACGGAGTCTTGGATGCCTCCAGCCAGCCAGGAGCTAACTCCAATTCCATCCCCCAGCACTTGTGTCCCAAAACCCCTCCTTTTCCCCTCATTTCCTCTCTTACCTTCCCCTCCCGGTGTCCTTCCCAACAGAAACCACTGCTAAGCAACAGGTTCTGTTGTGCTCCGTGTCCAATCCCATTCCCTCGGCACCGGCAAGGAATGGGAATCACAAAAGCTCATCCTGGCTGCTCTGAGCCCGCCCAGGGGAGGAAAAAAAAATCCAGTCTGGCACCAAAACCGTTTTATTGTTCACTCAGAAGCATTACATTCTCACCTGGGTTTGCTGCCAGGCCCAGGGGAAAGCTCTGAAAGCAAAATGCCCATCATCCGGTTGGAAATGGAAAGGAAAATCCAAAGGGTTGGATAAAAATAAGTGGGATTTCGTACTTGGAAAAGCCTTATTATAAATAGGTAAGAAAATATTTGTTTCAAGAAGAATCTCAACCCCAGCTCTGTCCAAGAGCCTGACTCCATTCTGTCCTTAATAAAATGTCCATGGAAATGAGTAAAAAAATCGTGTCTTCAAAATAGAGGAGTAAAACAAACTTCCCAGAGTAAAAAATAAGGAATTTCAGCATGGAAATGCTAGGATCAGACTCCCCACATCCCAGTTAAGTGCTCAGAAAACAAATCCAGGTGGAGCTTGGCATCTTGGTAGGGAAAGGCTTGTGTGGATTTGGGAGGTGGGATGGCTCCAGGAGGATGCTCCTCGCCCAGGGAAGGATTGATCCAGCCCAAAAGCACGAGCAGAAGGCAGAGGAACCTCTGAGGAGACTCCGAGCTCTCCCTCCTTATCAAGGAGAGGGAGGAACCTTGATGGCTTTTCCCAAAGGAGAAGCCTCTGAGGTCTCCCAGGATCCAGGCCCTGGATGTGGAGTGTTTAAGGCACGTGGCTGTTTCTTTCCAGCACTTATTCCAGCATTCCGATGCCGGGTGGGTTTAAGGGCAGGAGTGAGGTGTCTTGAGGTTGCTTCTTTGGTCCCACAGAATCCTGAGGATCCCAGCACCCATGGGGGGAAAGGTGGATCAAGGTGGGATCAGAACTGAACCCAGCCAGTGTTTCCCTGAGCCTGACTGGAAGCCGACCTGGAGAAGGGGAAAAACAGGGGGGAAAAGGGTGTTTAGAAATGATAAAGCATCCAGGGAGGAAACTGGGCTGCAAATGGGTCATCCAGGAGCACCCCAAAACTCTCCTGGAGCAGCAGAGCAAGAAGTTCCCATGGACCTGAACTCAGGGAACTGGCAGCACAGAGGCAGAGCCGCTTCTGAACCCCAAAGCTGGGACTGGATGGAGCAGTGCCCCTACCCCAGCGGGGTTTTCCAGCAAAACCATGTGGTTTTGGGACATCCACATCCTCCCCAAATCCCTGTCCTGCTCACCCTGAAGCTTTGGCAAAGTCTCCCCAGACATCAGTAGCTGGAGCAGCAGTGGGCTGAGGCCAGGACAGCAGGGAGTCTGTCAGAAAGTCAGGAAGAGAGAAAACAGAACAGCAGGAGTGATTTCCCACTCTCATTCCCAGACTCCCCCTTTGATGGATGAAGCAGCCCCAGGAGCTCTGTGTGAGCACAGACCTGTGATGGGGGTTCCTGGGAGCTGGGCAGGCGTGGAGAGCGGGCCCGGGCGCTCCCCAGAGCTGGATTTTCCTCCAGGGGGTGGTGGGAGCAAGCTCAGGCCCCCAGGCCCTGCAGGACGTGGCCTGGTGCTCCCTGTCCCTCCTTCTTTTTTCTTCATGTTCTGAAAAGAGAGCAGGAAGTTTGGGTGGGATCGCATTTAAATCCAGAGCCAGTGTGAAAACCTTGGAAGCCAAATTGTTTTAATTTGGGAATAAAATCCTGCACTGCTGCGCCTTCAAAGGGGTCACAGCAGGGGTGGATTTTACCCCAGATCCCACAGGCCTGGTTTTGGCAGCAGGAATTGATTGCACCACAACCCCTGCAAATCCCTGCAGGCAGCGTTATTCCCAGGGGCTCTGCCCTGAGCCCACGCACAAGGATTTCAGGGAGGAGCTGCTGCTTTCTCATGGCACCCAAAGGAAAAGCTGGAATCAGCTGGGAAAGACCCTCACAGCGATGTTGAGTTTGATGGTTTGTCCCTCCTTGAAGCCCAGATCCAGTTTGGGTCCCTGCTCCAGGTCCTGGGCCTGCCGGGCCAGCTCGCTCTGCTGCCTCACCCACCTGTGGGAATTAAATCCATGGAAAAGGAGACACAGCCTGCCCCAGGCTTCCCCTGACAAATAAATCCTGCTCAGGACCATCCCTCTGTGGCAGCAGCTCTGCAAAGACCAAGGTGTGAGCTGGGATCTCACCTGAGGGAGCACGCAGGGAATGATTCCCAGCAGCAGCTGCTGGAGCCCCAGGGATCCCCCAGCCAGCACCATGTCCATCCATCTCTCCCCAGAACCCCAAAATTCCAAAACCCCACCATCCCCAGCAGCTGGAGCAGCCCCTCAGGGCAGCCCCTTACAGCTGATACAGGAAGCAGAGGAAGTAAACCAGGGAATCTGGACTGGGAATTTGGACACCCAGTTTTGGACTTGGGAAGCCCAGTTTGGGACACTGCTTATCCAGGCTGGGAAATCCTGGAGAGAGGAAGAGCTGCAAGTTTCCTCCTCTTCCCACCACAGCTGCCCAGCCCAGCCCCCACTTCTCCACCTCTCCTGGAGGAGACCTGCCAAAAACAGAGCTGAGAGGACACAGGGAGAGGCACAAACTCACTTGAAGTGGTCCTGGAGAGCCACATTGAAGTCAAAGGCATCCCCTCGGTCCACAAAGCCGACCCCGATGAACGCCCGGCGGCCTGGGCAGGGAGGAGGAGATGGATGGGATGGGATGGGATGGGATGGGATGGGATGGGATGGGATGCTCCATCCTGCACAGCCCCGTGCCTGACGCTGCCTCCAGAGGGAGCTGGGACACCGGGACTGAGACACAGGACTGGGGATCACAGAATCCCAGAATGGTTTGGGTTGGAGGGACGGTAAATCCCATCCCATTCCATGGGCAGGGACACCTTCCACTATCCCAGGCTGCTCCAAACCCCTGCCAACCTTGGGCACTGCCAGGGATCCAGGGACAGCCACAGCTGCTCTGGGCACCCCGTGCCAGGGCCTGCCCACCCTCACAGGGAACAATTCCTGCCCAATATCCCATCCAGCCCTGCCCTCTGGCAGTGGGAAGCCATTCCCTGTGTCCTGTCCCTCCATCCCTTGTCCCCAGTCCCTCTCCAGCTCTCCTGGAGCCCCTTTAGGGACTGGAAGGCCACAATTAGGTCACCCCCAGAGCCTTCCCTTCTCCAAAGGCATCTCTAGGTGTTTCACCTCATGGGCTGAACCTAAACTTCAGCACAAACAGCTTTTTAATTAACTGGCAGCAGCGGGGGGGGCTCCTACATCCTCCTGCCAATGCTGAGCAGCCAAGCTCCAGTGTTTTTGTTCCTGGCCAAGGTCAGAGCCGTGGGAGGCAGGCAGCTCCTCCCTCTGCCCTCCAGTGAAGGGAACATTCCGCCATGGGAAGCAGGAATCCTTCCCGAACAGGAGCAGCGAGGGCTGCGCGGGGTCCGCGGGTGTGCGGGACGCACCGTTCCCATCTTCAATCCGGATGACAAAGTATCGGCTGGAGTCCATCACGCCCTCCACAGCGATCCCGGGGAACTGCTCCACAGGAGCCTGGGCAAAGAGCTCTCCTGGAACACAGCAAGGGGCCGGGTGACGCCGGGCGCAGCCCGCACCGCTGCTCGCCCGGAGCCCCGCGATCCCCCTCACCCGAGCTCTTGTCCTCCAGCTTGATGAAGGCCGTGCTGCCCTTGGCCGTGATGCGCAGGCGGCCGCTCCAGGCCGGCTGGTCCAGCTGCCACTCGGCGGCCCTGGGGAGCAGGGGGGGAGCCTGAGCCCTGTGCCGCCCACAGCCCCCGTGCTGCCGCGGAGCTCCTCTGCCTGCCTGCTAACGCGGCCAGGGTGGGGACAGGGGCGTTTGTCACAAGATGGCTCGTTTCACCCCAAAACAGCTGCTGCGTTTGGGCGGGGAGCAGGCAAGAGCTGCGCGGGAGGTTTCGGTTCCCTTTCCGCGGAGTTTCCAGAGCCGAAGGTGCGTTAGGGACAGGCGGCTGTGCCAGGACGGGCTCGGGCTGGGAACTGTCGGGGTGGGAACCCCAAAACACACGGGGGGACGGAGACAGCCCTGCGGGGTGGGGATGGGGGCACAGACACCTCCGGGGAGAACCCACGGGGGCTGAGGTTTCTCACGGAAGGGCTGAGATACCCCATGATACTCCTTCTCACGGAGAGGGAGAGACCCCGAACACCTCTGGGAGCCACAAACCCCTCACACCTCCTGAGGAGGGGAACCCACAAACCCCACAGGGAGGGGGCGAGCCCCCCCACGCCAG